AATTTACTCATAATCTAATATTTTTTATTTTACATTGGCGGCGAAAGGACCTCCTTAAAATAATGTCTGTAGATCAGAATATCTCTCAATAATAAAAATATCATCCATGTTTAAGCGTTTTAAGCTCAAAAATGAAAATCTTCGCCTGTTTTATAACCTTTAAAATGATTTGATTTTGAAAATCATACGTTTTAAATGACTTAGTATTCAGAAAAAATCCTCATCTGAAAATTTTTAGATAATGATTTTTGTTGAATAAATTAGTCTATAAAAGTATGCAGAAAGAAAGAATTTCTTGTGCCAAAAAAATGTTGAAAAGTACAAATTTATTTTGGAGCAAGAACAAATTTTCTTTACTCAAGAAAAGTTGACTTTTTTCAAGAAAGTTTTAGTCTTTTTCATTATTTTATTGAGCTAAGAATATTCACTCTAGAGTCAACAATTTTTTTTTTTTGCGTAGACATTGAGCTGTCTATGTTCAAACAGAGATTGGCTAATATAGTCATTTATCTTCCTACTCTTCTTTAATATCTGAGAGGAATTTCTTTCTTGCGTGTCGGGGAATCTTTGAAACGCTTCATTCGCGAGATACAGGCGCTATTCTCAGCAAGCATATTGTTTTCAGTCTTGACACTTAACCGTACCCCCATATGTCTTCATTCATAAAGTACTGTGAGAAGTTAGAAAACTGATGTATTTTTTTTCTCCAGATAGCAGTATTATGTGGACACTCGGGGATGGTTACTTCTGTTAATTTCTGTCCTATCACCTGCAATGGTGTTAATTACCTGGTATCAACAAGTACGGATGGATCAGTGGCATTTTGGTCGTACACTCAAAAGTCCAATGAAAGAGCAGTTTTTCAGTAAGTTAACTTAGATTTCAAAACATAAAAATAATCTGATAAATCCACGCTGCGCGAATATAAAATTCATATTCACGTGTCGCAGACTCGTCAGAAAATTTTTATAGATGGATAGCCTATCCTCTTCTAATATATATAAAATTTAAGAAAGCAATATTTGTACTTGACTTAATAACAGAACTTAGAAATTATTATCAAAAGTAATATTGCTACAACTATATAAAAAAAAAATTGCATCGCTTTTCTTAAAATATTTGATTTCACAAATCTTAAAAATAATTGGATATTATTGTCACAAATAACAGTCTACGATGTCACAATAGCTGTCAAATGATTAAACCATAACACAAAAGAAGTATACGTTATATTTGATGAGATTGTCTTTATTTTGATCTATTAGAGAACTATAACTTTATGATAATTTCAATAATTTCTAGTGATGTTAGACAAATTTCATGTAACTGCAAAGATTCTTATACTCTATCAAATCACACATCATGCCTACAATTATTGTTGGATCTTGAATAAAATGAATACACTTATACTTTTTTTGGAGAATTACTTTGAATAAGTTAAAAAATGAAAATAAACACTTGATAAATTTTTAAATTAAGGCCCTTTGAAATTTTATAATACTCAACATTCGTTATTTACAATGCGTAAAATTTAAAAAGAAGTTTAACAAAATACTCATCTTATTTTGTAGTATGGCTAATAATACTATATTGACGTATAATTTTTTTTTGAAAATTTTATTTTAAAAGGTTAATGTGCAAATTTATGAGAATTTCACTGGATGTGTAGTTTTCAGTTGAAGATTACACTTGGAAATTTTTTTTTTTTCCTTTTCAGTAAGCAATAGTCTAATCACATATTAGATGTATTCGGTATAAAGTTATTTCAAATTTTTAATATTTTAAACTTGTTACACAATTATCGTTTGTAAATAAAATTCAAGAGAACGGTTATAGCTTCAATAATTTAAATGATCTCTTTTATATATTTTAGTATACGATTTTTACAATTATTAATTAAAATTTTGAATAAATTTTCAGACCAAAGCCTATACAATATCATGAAAAAATGAGACCTGGACAAGCACAAATGATCTGTGCATCATTTAGCCCAGGCGGTACCTTTATGGCAGCTGGTTCTGCAGATCACCATGTGCGCGTGTATTCCATGTTAGAAGAAGAAGGTCCTCGCCGTGTTCTTGAAGTTGAAGCCCATACAGATACTGTTGATAGTATACAATGGGCTCATATGGGATTAAAGTTTATTTCTGGGTCAAAAGATGGAACAGCAAATGTTTGGCATTTCGAACAACAACAGTGGGTGCACAAACGTCTTTCAATGAACACGAAATTATCTGAGTATGTGTATATATGACACTATACTTATTAAATAATATTACTAATTTTTTTGATTGGAATGCAACAATAATTTTATTAATGTTGCAGTGATGTTAAGGTTGATGAAGATACAATAAAAAAAGCAAAAGTAACAATGGTAAGCTGGGACGTAAGCGATGAGTGGGTAATCACAGCAGTAAATGATAGTTCGTTAAAGGTGTGGAATGCTAAAAGTGGAGAATTAATGAAGATTTTAAGAGGTCACAAAGATGAAGTCTTTGTTTTAGAAGCTCATCCTATTGATCCTCAAGTAATATTAAGTGCTGGACACGACGGACAGTTAATTGTTTGGGATGTGCTTAATTCTGAACCAATAGCATGTTTTCAAAATTTCATTGAAGGACAGGGTAACGGAGCTGTATTTGATGCGAAGTGGTCACCAGACGGTACAATGCTTGCAGCTACAGATTCTCATGGCCATTTATTGATGTATGGATTTGGATCTGGAGTTGAAAAACTTAAAATTGTGAGTAGAATATCCTAACAATATTCTTTAATATTATTTACAGGTGACTTCGGGAGTTTGATATCATTTATATAATTTTCATTTAGTATAGAAATTAATTTCCGAATATGTCAGTTTTACGTGTACGGTTTTCGATATTTGAAATCTTTTAGTTTTAGATCATTATATTACATAATTTATGACAACATATTGTTATAATTGCTCAACATTTTACCTTGGAATTGTTCGGTATTATATCATTCTCTGCACTTGTTAAAGTTTTTTTTTTCTTTTTTTGTTTTTTTGCAGATTCCCAAGGAATTGTTCTTTCATACAGACTATCGACCGCTCATTCGAGATAGCAATAATTATGTATTAGATGAACAAACACAAACTGCACCACACTTGATGCCTCCGCCATTTTTGGTTGATGTCGATGGAAACCCGTATCCACCATCGCTTCAACGATTAGTCCCAGGTAGAGAAAATTGTCGGGGAGAACAATTGGTTCCCAATATTGCAGTAGGTGTAGGAGGTAGGTTACTATTCTAAGCTGAAGTTTATATTTCTGGATTAATAAAACAAGAATTATATTTAAAAAGGATTACAAGAAGTTATCGAAGGAATACCAGATCCTGAACCACGCTCAAATATCGATCGTCTTATTGAAGCTCTTGCACAAAGACAAAATTTGAACACCGGAGATAATGAAAATATTGACGATCGCGAAGAAAATTTTAATGAATCTCAAATCCGTCAAATAACTAGTCCACGTGGTAATCGTTTAGGATTACGAAGAGTTGGGGATGTTGAAGGAGTGAGACAAAGTAGTGGAAACTGGCAACGAGATAATACTACGCCTTGGAATAAACCAATCCTGGTACCACCGATTCATGAAGCAATACAACAAACGCAGCTAGAAAAATTGTAAGTATTAAAGTATTGGAAAAAATTGTTTTTTTTTTTTTTTAATTTTTTTCCAAAATGATTAAAAATATTTATATATTTAGAAGTTTATTATCATACTTTTTCTATTTTCCATCAGAATAATACATTAAAAAAATTTTAGTCTTTTAATTTCATAAGTAGTCTACGATGCATTGAACAAAAAAGACTTTAGAGGTATAAACATAGTGAATTGGTCCTAGAAAGATATTCAAATAATATAAAAATAATATGTAGATTCTAATAAAGTAGTAAGATTCTGAAAATACCAGATTTTCAACTCAAAAGGTTTTCAAGAAAAAGTATTATACTATTAATTACACTTAAATCCATCTAGGCATATGTAGTTTTATAAATTCAATTATAATCAATTTATGATGCAGCAGATTCATTTAGAGATTGAATGCGTTCTTTAAATTAGTTACTAAATTAATTAGTATTTTATGACATTCATATTATTATTATTTATTATTTATAATTTACAAGGTATTCAATGGCCGATATGGAAATAGAAATTTGGAAAAGAGAAATGAAGAAACGCCCGTTACCTCCTGTGAAACTCGTTGAAGCTTCAGATCATGCCAATAACTATTTAACGAATCGAAAACGGAAGAATGGAGTAAGACATGGTTACCGAACCAGAGCCGCAAGAGATGACGAACAAAATGATGACGAAAATGTAAAGATCATTTATTTTAATAGTTATGAATTGAATTTTTAAGTAAACAAGTTTAATTCTTCATAAAAAAGCGTGTTTTGTGACGTGATCATATTATAATTAGTCGCTCTTAAATTGAAACTCAACAACCTACGTTGAACTCCTTTTTTAACAAAGAAAACTATTTCTGTTTATTGTTTGGTACAGATCAATTTGCCGGGAGCTAATTTAACTAATGTGAGTTGAGGAAAAAACAAAATTAATCGAACTAAAAAAAAAAGGGTCTATTTATTACTTGTAAAAATGTGTGCATTGTTATAGACAACAATAATAGTTATTATAGTTATAATAGTTATAATTAGTTTTAATAACATGTTCCGCTTCCAGCTTCAATAACTTTGGCAAAATTAATTTCATGAAAAAATTTATTGATATAAAATGAATTTGTCCGGTTGGAAAATAACAATTTCTTGCAATTGTTTAAACAATTTCGGTTTAAATAATATGGCACGAGGTTGCTTCATGGCAACGTGCATTTATATCATCAGAAGGGCAATTTAAAGAGGATCGTATATAAAAATTGAGGTGGAGTAGTTTTCGGTACTCATGCGCCGATTCCTCCTAGACTATATTAAGATTTAAAATTTATTGCACGTCTCCTAGAAGTCTTCTTCTTCTTAAAAATAAGAATTATATGAAGTTAATGCGATAAATAGTTTTTATTTTGGAACCGTTTGTTTTTCACAATCGTGTCACAAAATGCATTTTTTGTTTTTAAAACATGATTGCATAAAATTTCTTGTGAAAAATAATTTTTTTTTTTATATTTATTACTTTAATTTATTAACTATTACTCTACCATTTGATTATTGTTCACAATATTATAGTTCACAATATTTTCTTACTTATTAGGTAATAATTTTTTTGCTCATATTACTTTCTATATTTTTTTTAGAATTCGGAAAATAGAGAGCTTTCAGGAACCTCGGAAAGCAGTCATAGCAATGACTCTTCGGCTCATGAAGAAGATTTGTGTTCTGACACTACTACGTCAGATACAAGTAGTGAATATTCCGATTGGATTGCAGATCATGGATTACACTTAGAACCGCCAACTCGGAGTAAAAGAAAACCAATGAATAAAAGATCGGTCACACCATCTACTGATCTGAATAAGCAGAGAAACCAACGTCTGAAGAAAAAGGTAAAACCCGACTCTATTTGATTTGGCTGACATACTTATACTTTTCTAATCTACAAAAAAAGTTTTTTGGATTTTTAACTTACCACTAAAAAGACTAAAAAAATTAATTTTTTTTTTTTTCAAATTCAGAAAGTAATTGTTTTCAAATCGATTTTCGTAAATTGAGTTTTCATAAAATCTCAACGTTTTAACGTTGAAAGTTTTTTAAAAATAATTTTAAGGATATAGTACCGATAAATTTTCAAATCTAATCAGAATCAGCTTTGTTATCGATGATAATTTCGCTAAATGTAGCAACCCCTATTAAAATCAGTTAATTCGTTAAATAGATATTGTCGTTAAAAAATGATCGAGAAAAGGTTTAATTTAACTTTCTTAGTATTTTCTTGAGTCAAAAAAATTATTTTTTCAACGAAAAATTTTTTCTTTCTGAATAATAATGCTTAATTATAAAATATTATTTTAGTTAATGACAGTACCGAATGGAACAGCGGAAGTACCTGACGTTTTTCGTCCTTCAGAATGGCTTACTGAAGTAATACCTCGTAAAGCACCATATTACCCACAAATAGGTGATGAGGTGGTATATTTTCGACAAGGTTATAATTTATATTTTGATGCAGTCAAGAACAAAAAAGTTTACTCTTTGAGCACACGCTGTGAACCATGGTCTAAAATGGAGATCAAAGTATAGCGTTTTTACGGTTACTGATATAAAAAATTCATTTTTACTATCATATTAATCATGTAATTTCTTGATTTTTTTAGGCTCACGAATTTGTAAAAGTTGTAGGAATTAAGTATGAAATTCGTCCACCTCGACTCTGTTGTTTGAAATTAGCATTGATGGATGAAGAAGGCCATTTAACAGGAAATACTTTCACAATTAAATATCACGATATGGCGGATGTATTAGATTTTCTAGTACTACGACAAACTTTTGAAACGGCATTAAATCGAAATTGGTCAGAAGGAGATCGTTTCAGATGTATGATTGATGATGGTTGGTGGATGGGAGAAATCGAATCAATGGAGCCACTTGATGAAGAGTTTCCCGAATCATATTTTATGTGTTTTCGTGTGAGATGGGACAATGGAGAGTATGAAAAAATGAGTCCATGGGATTTAGAACCTATAGATGCAGAAAGTAAGTAATAATTATTCAAATTTTTACCAATAAAGTTAGTTTTTGATTATAAAAGATGTTAAATGATATTCTCGTCAACTGCCCATGTAAAAAATATTAATGAAACTATTTAATTTAATTAAAATCTCACACAGGTTATTCTTTCGTTTTAATGATGAGATTTATTAGTGTAGCGAAAATATTTTTAGAAAATTAAGAAATTATTGCTTTTTAAGTATATCTTCAAAGATATTTTCTGAACAAATAAACAAGACTTGCGGAAACAGTTTTTTGATAGCGAAAAAAATTTGCATTTATAAAGTCAATTGATAATGAAATCTTTAAACTATTTTAAAATAGACACATATTTATATACGAAGAGCTTCGTTGAAAAAAAATTTATTTTTTAGGTATTTAATAATGTTAAGTAATAAAATTTACTTATTTAATTTCTAAAATATGATTCGAAGTAGACAGCCATAGAAACTCCAAAAGTATATATATATATATATATATATATATATATATATATATATATATATATATATTGTAATCATTTTATCACTTTAAAAACTATTTTGTCTAAAAAATCAATTTTTTAAACAATAAAGGACTTCCTATTGAAATTGGGGGTGCTGTTCCTGTTCTACCTGAAGAAATTCAAAATACACTGTATCAACCTCAACCCGATGAATGGCCTATGGGAGATAGAGAAGCTACTTGCCGTCGTATAGTTCGTGGAATTGATCAAGTTATGTCACTTGCTATAGCTGAACCATTTATAACTCCAGTTGATCTCAATATTTATCCAGCTTATGCATTTGTTGTTGAATATCCTATCGATTTGTCGACTATTAAAACACGTTTGGAGAACCATTTTTATCGTAGAATCATATCCGCACAATTTGATGTAAGATATTTGGCTTCTAATGCTGAAAAATTCAATGAACCTCATAGTCAAATCGTAAAAGCCGCACGAATCGTTACCGATTTATGTTTACGTATAATAAGGTAAATAATTTTTTTCTCACGTACGAAATCTTTCATTAATTAATATTTTTTTTTTCTAAACATCACGCGTATTTATATTCATTACAGAGAAACTACAGAGATCGATGTACCAGTTGTTTATCATCAATTGGTCGATACTTATCAATCTTCAGATTCAGAAGCTGAATTACCGGATAAAAAAATAATGCCTTCTACTAGTCGATCTAGATCATTAAGCAATCGGATCTTACGATCTCATCGTGAAAACACCGTAGATTGGAAATTCGAATGTCGACAATTGCTAGAAAGCTTATGGCAATGTGAGGATTCTCTTCCTTTTAGGTAATCATTGTAGATTATATATTTTTGATATTTGTTACTTTGATAATATAATCTAATTAACTAAAGTGTATACTTTTATTTTCAGAGAACCGGTAGATCGGTTAGAACACCCTGATTACTATCAATTAATAGATACACCAATGGATCTTCGAACAGTGAAAGAAGATTTACTGGGGGGTAATTATGAAACACCTTTAGAGTTTGCTAAAGATATGAAGCTAATTTTCACAAATAGTAAAAACTACAACACTAACAAACGATCAAAAGTAAGTAACATACGCTACTTCTATATATGTGAAACTATTTCTTAATTACATACAATTCACTCATTTTTTTAATTTCCCGCTAAAAAAATTAAAAATTTTACAAAATCGGGAAGTTATTGGTTTTACTTCGTTTTTCGAAAATTGAGTATTTATCAGATCTCGACGTTTTGAGGTCCTAAGAAGTTTTCCTGATTATTCCCGCGATGGTGTGTGGGTGTGGGGAGGGGGCTTCACCAAACTTAGATTTTGAATACAATTTGGACCGACCTAAACTGGTAGATTTTGAGAAATCTCAAAAAAAACTACGAAACAAATTTTTTTTAAATGTGGTTTTTTTAGAATAACTTTTAGACGGTTTTACCGATCGATTTTAAAAACTAACCAGGTCTTAACATCAAAAAACCACGTCGATCGCCGTCGGGCTGGTCAAAATCGGTTGATTTGTTCGTGAGATATCGTTGGCGAAAAAATTCGGAAAAAGTGAGTTTTGTCAAATTTCTCTAAAATTTTCAATCTGATCAATTTGTGTTTAAAACTAAATTATAAGATTTGAAAAACTACGTCGAATCCTGCCAACCGCGTAAAAATCGGTTTATTCAATCAAAAGTAATTGCAGGTTGAAAATTTGAAGAATCGTGTTTTATTAAACTTTTATCAGACTTTTGAGCTCAAAGAGCTCAAAAGCATAGAACAGCTAACTCTTTGAGCTCGGAGTGCTCAAATTAACACATAAATTGTATTTTTGAACTTAAAAAACGTCATAAGTGCAATTTTAAGCACATAGGTAGGGAATTAGCGGGAAGTTGTAAGGATGTCCTTTAGGGTCAACCGTTTTCCTAATTTGTTTACTTTGTAATCTTTTAAGCAATTTATAATTTTATATACCAAATAACGTCATTCTAGATATATTCGATGACAGTAAGGTTATCAGCTATGTTTGAAGAACATATGCGGAGAATCATTTACCTGTGGAATTCAAACAAACGGCGGACTAAAAATTGCCAGATGAAAACTCGTCAGCGCACATCAAAAGAGTTGAAGACTTCTCTAACGACTAATGCTGGTAAATTATCTATTATTAACTATCATATATTTTGATAAACTTCATGAGAGTGTGAGAATCTGGTAAATTGAGAGTATAGTGGATTGTCCCTAGTCCAATATTTAACTAATATTTAGAAAGTGTGAAGCCGCCCAGAAAAGTATAAAAAAAGGCCGTAAAATACTCAAATTTTTAGCTGAATTAGTTTTTGAGAAAATTTTGATTGATGTCATAGATAAGAAGATTCGGTACTAATTTTCACACAATAACAGAATTTTTTCATTTTTATCATCGTGAGGTATTTACGTCAATTGCTCACTACTATAATTTTAGATCGTTTCACTACACATTTTCTGAGTAATTAATCATTAAATTTGTGTCTTATACTCATAGAGGTATTAAGAACCAATACGAAACGTATTCCTAAGCTTGAAGAGCTTAAAAATTGAATGAAAGTAGGCTTTCGTACTCTTTGAGCTGAAAGTAGCGGAATGTCTGTTATGATTCGCAGGGTCAACCGTTTTCCAGATTGTTTATTCTTGTTTTTAAACTGGTATACCTTCTAAATACTACTCTTTCATTCATTTAATTTTGTATATTTTAGGTCCATCTAGAAGAAGATGTGAAACAACAAGCGATGATGATGAGGATGATGATGATGATGATGATGATGATGATGATGATGATGATGATGATGATGATGATGATGATGATGATGATAATGACCGCGATGTAGGTGTTCGTAAAAATAATGATGATGATGATGATGATGATGATGATTCAAATGATGAGGATGAAGATGAAGAGGATGATGATGACGACGATGATGATGATAATGATGTTGTCGTTGATGATGAAGACGACAATGGTGACAATGAGCATAATGATAATAATAACGATGATAATGCTGATGATGGTGACGATGATGATGATTATGATGATGATAATGACAATGGACATAAAAGAAAAGTGAATTTAAAAAAAAATAAGAAACAAAATAAAGTAACTGTTCATAATAAACAAACATCGTACTGCAATGAATCAGGTAAGCAATTTTAAATTACCTGTAAGATGGACGTATTTCATATGGACGGAATTAAGCAATAACGTCTTAACCAACATTTTAAAAAAAATCGAGTTATTATGATGAACTAAGTAATCTTATGATACTAAGTACATTCATCATAATAACTCGATTTTTTTTTAAATGTTGGTTAATACGATATTGCTTATTTCCATCCATATTGTGTCTTTATTGTGCTGTTGAAGTCTTGAAGAGAAAAATTCTCAACTACCTGAAGTGAAAATTTTAGAACTAAAATGAAACTGGAAAAAGCTGTCGACCATGAATTTTGTAATTTTAGAATTACTATAGAAAATGTATTTAAAGATGGAACTGAACTGATTCTGATAGTCTCTGACGTCTCTAGCAAGCTGAACAGTTTTATTTAAGTATCAATTCAGCCGAGTGAGGTTAACCAAAAATTCAATTCAATTTTAATAGTTTAATCTAAACATCAGATCGATCTAAATTTCGATTCAAGCTTTAAATTTTCGCCTCGAGTATACTTATATACAAATAAAAATCTCCTAGAATTTTTAGCTCTTAATTTCAAGTATCTTAATGGCTGAATTTTTTCCTTTGTTTTATATGCTATTGAAGCATGTAATTCTCGGTTGTTGTTTTGCACATTTTTTTTTAACTTAGTTTTTCTATTACTTTTTTTTTTTTTGCCAGAGTGAATTAGTTTTTTTAATAATATCAATACAAAAAAATCAATTATCTTAATCATTAGTTTAAGTTTTCTTTCTTAAATTATACAATATATTCATATACAACCTGATGTTCTTTGAGATTTTAAATGTTATATTTTAGAAAAAAAATTTCTAATTTACATTAGTATAAAAATGATAGAATCAAGTATTGGATTAATTATTTCCTACATGTGAGGGTTGTTTTGATAAAATACTAATATTTTTCAGTGTATGGTATATTATTTAGTTGAAATTAATTTACAGTATTTACTTACATTCATTGCAGGTCCATCTCAAATTACAAATGGTCATATCAACCATTCTACTGATTCAAGACCAATCAGAAATAGAAAATCTTCATCAAAAAATATCCCGAAAAGTAAAAACGATTCCACTGAATCTGATTCGTCTACCAATAACATCACTGATGATAATCAGACTATTCTACGAAGAAAAAACGAAGTTAGTCTAAGCAATTATAAGAATTTAAATGACAACATCAAGTCTGTAAGAAGCAGAGGATCTATTATAAAACGAGGGTTGAGAAGAAAAGGTATTCTTCGTACGAATCGATCAGCATTAAAAAATTATGCAGAGAGTAATGGTGATGAAAATGATGAAAATCAAGAAATTATTGAACAGCAGGAATCCACAGCCAGTGAAAGTTCACAAAATATTGAAAATGAAAGAATACAAGCCCATGCAATTCCAGAAACAGATTCAGTGCCCGATCAAATATCTTATACTAGCGGTCCATCTCCGAAAAATAGAAGTGAAGAAACATCATCAGATAGCAGTTGCATAGAAAAATTAAATTACAATGTTTCAAATAGTAGAGATTCTGAAAGTTATGAATCTACAGCAAGAAATAAACAGATAAAATCGCAGAAAAAGGGAAGAAGAAGAAGACGGCGAAGAAAAAGAATATCTATAAATGATTCCGATAACGAAGAGACAATAGGAAGTTCTCGAAGAGGGATGAAACGTGTACGATACTGTGAAGATAGTGACGAAACTGAATCTATTCCTTCAAGAGATAGGCGGAAAGTAAAAAAACCTGACTATACTGAACAAAGTGATGAAAGCCCACCTGAACCTGGGATCAGTATAAGTAGTAGAGGTCGTGTACGAAAAATGACCGCAAAAGCACGTGCTTTTTTATTAGAGTCACCATAATGGCCTTCTTATATTTTAAAGTTAATCTATCAATATTTAAATATGCAGGCCAAAACTTTATATATGTTTTGTCAATATCAATAAAATTAAATTTTTTTTAATTGTTTTTCGCTTTTAGTATTGTAGTCGTATAAGAAACTTTTTTTCATCTTTTCTACGCTACACAAATATATACTGTAATGGGAGTTTTCCGACCTAGGATTTCACCAGTCATAAAACAATCCAGTTTATTTGACTAATCGATTATTCAGATATTAATTCTTCTTTAAGGCGGCTGGTCATAGTGAGATCAATATGGTAGTTTTCGAATTACGAGAGCACAATGCGACTCATTGCCGCACGGTGCCGCATTAGCACAAGTTTAATTGAAACAGATTAGTTAAGAAATGCAGCAATAGATCGCGTTGGTATTGCTTCGTTTTGAACAAAAATTCGAAAGTTTGGCAATCTAAAAATCTAAATATTTGTTTACCTGTATATTTAAATCTTTAAAATCTTTGAAAACATTCATGTTAAACAGCTAATTCAAAATCATATCATGACAATGCTTACAAATATAAAAATCTAAAAAATGATTTCATTTTATAAAGATAAAAGAATAGAGAGGAATTTAAATTCGCTTAAGTTAGTCATCAATAATTAAATATTAGATATAAAAATATGATAGTTAAATATAGTTTGTGTTATTGTATATATTTAATTTTATTGCAATAATAATTATTTATCAACAATAATAAAATACACTTACAATTGTCAAAAATAATAACTTTGATAGATAATAAGATAAACATTAATTATACCAACTCAATACAAAAAAAATACTTTTAATTTTATGTAGACTCGTTGGTAACTCTCACGCATAACATCCCTGAGCAAAGGTTTTTTGAGTGTCCAACTGTGCGAAGCGTTGCTGTTATTGGAACACTCTAAGCTGCGCACAATGCCGCATTATGCGCTCTAGTGCTGTAGTTGGAAAACTACCTATATCAAAAGGAAAGGTTATCAACAAACTCGGTAGAGTTTGGCGCCAAGTCCCATTCTCAAGCCAGACCACCGAGTGTGTATTTACCGTAAACAGAACGGTATTTTGAGGTTACAAATTTTTTTTCAAATTTATTTCGATTTTTTATTTTTATGATGTTTTATAATAGTAGTAAATACTCTTAATTACACGTATTAACAAATGACTATTAATTATCTTGATGATTTCTATTTAAAATTATTAAAAATAATCAGCACATACTATAGCGACCCAGATTTTTAGATTTTAACTTTTTTCTCATGTAAAAAGCGGACGGCCAGAGAATAAATAATATGAGGATGCATGCTAATCTTATGATAGATTGGACACTACAGTGAAAATTATGAATTCCACAGCTTGTGTTTATACTCACCAGGGCGCATCAGAATAATTTTTACATAAACTGTAGATAAGAGATTTTTTATTTTATTTATATCTAGATATCTAGGGGCGAACCAAGAGTTAACTATGTGATGCTTTGGATTGCGTCCAGCAGGTGACACTACTTGTCGCGAAGCGCGAATCCAAACATTTTTTCCGGGTTAATACTGTAATTCTAGTTCTACACGCCTTATAGAAATAGTAGAGAAAAAAATTAAACTATTATTGTTAAGAAAAAATAAAATTATTGTAAGAAACCGAAAAAAAATTGATACAACCTATAATAAACCAAGTGTGTATTTACCGTAAGCAGAACGGTATTTTGAGGTTGCAAATTTTTTTTCAAATTTATTTGGATTTCTTATTTATATGATGTTTTATATAATGGTAACAGTACCCTGATAGCTACAGTTTCAGACCAACCAAGTTGGTGTCAGATAGTTGCCACCAACTTACCGACAACTTGCGGTCAACTTCCGAATTTGAAACTGTTGGCGTCAAGTTGGCTACAAGTTTCTGAGAAAAACAAGACCAATCTACTGCCGCAATATGTCGCCAAATTTCTCGAGAAACTTGTCGTCAACTTGGTGCGAAAGAGTTTCGAAAACAATTTTTGCCGACAACTTGGCGACAACTTGGTGAACAACCGAGTTCATTTCCAAGACTTGCCGCCAACTTGGTGACAAGTTGCTGCAGCAAATCAACGGAAAGTTGCGACCGGTTTGGCTATCAGGGTATCGATCGAGGTATTCTTAATAGCTTAGATCGATAAAGAAATAACTCACTAATAAATTTACTTAACTCTCAGCTGTTAACAAGCAAATACATTATTACCGACAGCAAACGGGATCGGATTGAGTCGGATTCAACATCTTATCCGATTTAAGGAGGTATTACCCTAAAATAGTTCTCAACTTTCGGAAAAATTTCCCCCCATATGCCCCAATGTAAAGCATTATATAACTACAATATGAAGTAGTTGAGATGCAGTACACTTTTGCGCCTCCTCTCATATGCGCAGAAGTAGAAAAATAATCCCACTGTTTCTTTTTTATGACTTAGCTACGTTGCATTCTCGCTCAGAATCGTTTGCTCCTTGAGACATGTGTTGTAGAAAAATTTAATGTTTTGAAATAATTTTGAGGTTACGTATAGTTGGAGACTGCAAATAATAAATAATGACTTCGCGGCTAAAGAATGGCAGATTTTAATTTAGCAATATTTCGATCAGTCTTGAGACGATGCATCCATCTACCCTTCTCTGCGGCATCCCACTGTAGTTGCCATCGACTTATGCTCTTCTGTCGTTCTTCTGTTCTAAGCTCCTCAGCGCTTAGTGTGGTTGACTTCTTTCTTTGGTAAAGAGTCCGTCTTTCCTCAGCTACGACTCTGAGAGGCAAAGTTCCGGAAATGACACACACTGCTTCCATAGATATTGTGCGGAAGGCGCTTGCTACTCTTAAGGCACTCAGACGGTAGACTGGTCCAGCCCTTCTCCATGATTCTTGCTTTTCTAGTGCGTCTGCCCAGATAGATATTCCGTAAGTGAGCACTGATGTGACTACAGATGATAGCAGTAGTCTCCTGCTCTGCTTTGGGCCTCCGACGTTTGGCATCAGTCGTGCTAAGCTGGCTACCACTGCTGATGCTTTTGCACTCACGTGTTCGACTTGCTGCTTAAAGTTGAGTCGGGCAGCAAGCATCACTCCCAGATATCGGATAATCTCTTGATTTTTCGACGTGAAAAAATTTTTTTTGGAAAAAACGCGTTTATATAGCTTTTGTAGAGCATAAAATTTGCTACAAAAAGTTCCTCTGTGTAAATCCCCGCCCCCCTCCCCTACCAACAGCTTTTGAGTTATATAGTTGCGAAGATGAATGTTTATTATATTTCACATCAAATCATTTCTAAATCAATATTTATTATTAAAATGTGCGCACTCAGGTCAGCAATTTTGATGCCGATTTTTTCCTCAAAAGTACACCTTAAATTAAAAGAAGACGATCCTGAAAATTTGGACCCGATATAATCAAATTCGGCCGCTGGAGAATTTTTTGAATTTTTAAAAAAGTCGATTTTTTACTGATTTTTGAATATTTGTATCTCAGCATCTATATAATGTAAAGACTTCTGTCTAGCGGCATTTTTTTCAGTAGACTCTCTACTTTTAAGAAAAAAATAAGTATTTGGTCTAAACTCATATAGGCCTTAGCTGACAGCCTCTAACTAACGAACTATTTTGATTAAATTCTACCGATTTGTAAAACACTAGTAAATGTACAGTGTTCGAAGTTGAGGATCGACCAGCAGCGAATGTTTCTATTAGGGTATACTTTAGTAGAATCTATGCAATTTTTACCGATTTTTATCGATGAGAATGATATGAAACCTTGAAAAGGCGCAAATTCAAGTCAAGACCTTTGCAATGACACTAAATTTCACTAAAAAACCCGATGTTATCATAGGACTATCCTAGAGACAAAATTTTTGTTATTCTCTCAATAATATAAATATATTTTTTTCAATACTCACTCTTATGTCAAACTTTAGAATCTCTACCGAAAAAATCGGTAGCCTCTACCAATTATTTTTTTCCGTGTACCAGTTTTATTTTAACGGATGTCATTTTCAATTTCAGGAATGGCTGCCACAGGAAAAGTCCTTACATTTACCATAGACTGGAATCAGCGAGTCGATATGACGTTTTGGACTGGATGGGCTGATGTCGTGGATGGTTTCTACATAACTTTAGAAAAACAGCCTAATTCTCCAGCCGTCAGATTCACCTCCACATTTCAAATTTTATCTATGTCAAATTTCTACGTTATCAGTATATAGGAACGCTGGAGTTAGGGTTCACCACTTTACACTGTTGTGGGTCTACTCATTTCTGGAGACCGGCATTAGAACATACCCATTATATGCTGAACCCGCCCGGCGGGTCAGTATTAACGTTCTGTATTTTTATTTCACGCTGTTTCCAATTAGTTCAACCCGCCGTAAATTAATAATGCGAAATATGTTATTCTAGAAGAAATATTACAATTTCCATTTAGTTTTAATTGAAGAAATTGAATGTTAAAAAAATTTTTCTATAGAAATTAATTTAAAAAGTTTTGTAAAATAAATCAAATTAAATTAAGTAATTATAATAACAATATGAATGGATATATAAGCAATTAGTATTGATCGCAGTTATTTTTATGTGGAGTTTATTAATTAATTAATCAAGATTTAAGTAGGGTCGAAGAAAGCAGTATTGAAAATATCTATTGAAATATCAAAGAAAAAAAATAAAATTACACTAACGGCGTAAGATTTTATAAAATTACTATTTTCTGATATTGTATGATATACTCTATTATTTTTTATTATATTATGATGATTATGTATTTATTATGTGAAGTAAACATCCGTTTAGTTTTTTATAAAATAATAAAAAATATTTAATTAAAAAATTTTGATTTATTTTTTTTTATGTTCCTATTCCGATTAAAATTAGAATAAAAAAAACTTAAAATTTGAATTTTAAATTATAATAATTTTTTAGAATATTAATATACCTAAATAGTAAGATAAATTTTAGCCAATCTGTTT